ACTGAACCAGGCAATGGCATTTTGCCACTAACATCAAAAGGGTTGGGAACTTCCCCTCAGCAAAATTACATACAAAGTTGTTATTTTTATAAAACTTTAAGACTAGCATAAAATGAGCATAGAGCTTTACTGAAGATGACATTAGCACTTGCCAGATTTCAAATAAAGTGGCTGGAAACAGGGTACTGCTGTTCTTACACAGAAGAGGTGCCCTAGGATGTGCCAGAGAAAGCAATGGTGAAGAGAGCAGACAAATCCATCCCTCACCATACATGGTTTCTACATTCCTGAAATCATTGTCTTCATTAACAAAATGATACTATCACATCATAGCAATATGAAAAAGCAAACCAACTTTCATTTTAGCAGGTTTGTTAGAAAAGAAAAAGGGTAATAAAGGAATACTAGATAAACAAATGAGCTACAGTCTTCACCTTGAGGGTAGAATCAATATCCATTGCACAAACAACAAATATCTAACCAACTGTTCTCTTTCCAAACCATGCTGGAAAACCATTTCCATCATAGTCAGAAGACGGAAGTGCCATCTCACATGTCCTCCTTAACTGAGTAGGGTAAATCAGAACTTCCATCTTGCAGGGGAGTCCCCAAATTAAGGCTTTTGGCTAGGAATTCCACGTTTCCCCTGGAACCACATCACCAGGCAGCTGTTAGCACAAGCCTCCCTGCTTGAGAGACACTACGTGGACCAAGGACTGCACTACAGATCATTTGTCAGGACTGGGCTTGATTCTAGGAGTGCTCGAACAATTTTGCATTCAACAATTACTAAAAAAAAAACCACACACTAAAAGCCACTCAGTTACCTTGAAACATCTAACTTGTTTTCAAATTACACCTTTATCATCTTTCCAGAAAGATGTTCAAGAAATTCTCAAGTTAGTTGGTAGAAAGGTTTAGTAAGCCCATTAAATTTATCCTGAGAAAGCACCAAGAAGTAATTGTCAAAGGAAAAAAGGAAGTATCTTCTATTGAAGTTTGAACAGAACAAATCACTTGAGCACAGCCAGTATGAACTTCTACAAATATATATATATATTTTACACACAAACCTAATTAGTCCTTTCAGTCATTACACATAAAACATAAGCTAACTGATGAAATAAGTCTCAGCAGATGTAGAACACCACATTAGGGCTGGTTAATCATGTCATGTTCTCCCCCCCCCACACACACACACAAATATTTAAAAATCACATTTTCTTTACTAAAAAACTGGCAGAAGTTGAAAACACCAACAAGTTACCCAGACTTAAAAATAACTGGTGGTAAGTCATTGTTGAGCCTATGCTTCTATAAAGTTATTCTGTGTTGTTAAAAGTCACTATACTTCCATTAAAGTCAAGCTACCAGAAGTGACATTTTGTAAGCAAATGATTCCCCATGCATTACAAGAGCGCACTGCTGACTTCTCTCCTAAAGCTCATGACCACGTGCAAAGCACAGCACTTCAGAGCAACATCCAGATTATGTAGTAACATCAGGACTATTGTAATCAGCAAACAGAAACATGGTACCTCACACTACATCATACTCCCCAAGGACCAGACGATGAAAGATGCTGGCAGCTGCTGAAAAGAGAAAAGCTCAGTGAATTATAAAAGCTGCATTAAGCCAGCTTTCGCATTTGCTTCACAATTAAGGGACAAAGGTTTGTGAGGTGGGGAACAGAATCTTAAAACAGTGTTATCATGAAGTCCAATATATAGGGAGGTTTGGACTATTCACCGCTGCCAGCCTCCTGTTATTTACATTAACTCTGCAGCTGAAGCCTGGGTTGCCTGTATTTGAAACCTTGGTATTCATCACTTGCTAATAGGCTCTTACCAGCCTCAAATGCCAGCTACATAAAGGATGAAGCAACTCAAAGGGAAGAGAGACCAAGGAAAAATTGTTAGGTCAGTACAATTATTCTGAGACTGTTTTGTCCCTTGAGTTTGTTATTCTGCAATTCTTTCATTTACATATTTCGCTCAAACTTTCCACACCTGTTGTTTGTTTGTTGTAGTAGTTTAACTATGTGACAATGGATGGTTGGAAATCTAGTTAAAATTCTCTAATACGTAACAGAATTACACATGCATCGCGTTATCTTGTTTGGAAACATCACTGGATACAGGCCAGATAATCAGAATTTTAATTAACAGCTAATTAGAAACACAGGCCTTCTCTTGGAGACTCCCAGTAATCTCTAGATATCTCTAAGGTTGTTATCACATCTTTTACAACAACTGTTTTGCACTAATTGGAGTGATTTTTTTTTCTGCTTTTAGTGCTCCATCCTGGCTTTTCTGGGTTCACCACAAGCATGTGGTCATTAGCTGCAACTGATGAATTAGGTTAGAAGTGGGCTAAGAATCAAAAATTCAAATTACAATACATGGAAAACACTGATTTCCCCCTAAACTTTGTTATATTTGTACTTCAAAACCCAGGTTTCAATAAATGGAAAGCTTGATACACTTCTGTGTTTGAAGTAGAAAAAAAAGACTGAGACAAATGTCTTTGAACTTTCCAGATATTGTGGTGAATGAATTCCCTATTATTTCTGTTTAAAAAACAAAGCCAGTTGGTAGAACCTCTTTAAGAGGAAGGAAGTGCACAATACAAAATTCACCTTTGTCCCTTGGGCAAAGATATTTTTGATTAGCCTCAGCCTACAGAACTCAGGGCTGAATAGAGCAGGTAGAAGAACCGAGATTGTTCTGGGACTCAAGGGAATGCTAAAACATCCAGAGATGCACCCCTGGGATTTGAAATTGCTCAGTATCACTGTGGCTGCCATCCAGCCTCAATCACAAGACAGCTCTTCTCAATTGATATTAAGAAGGAATCCACTGCACGACGCTGATTAGACCGATGCGTTTTGCTGACATTGCCAGAAACATTTATTTTAATATAGTGGAGTAGGTAGCTGAGGTTAATTTAAGTTTGACCTTGAAGAAAAAAAAAAAAAAGATATTATATAACAGATAGGATAGGCATTCAGGGATATATATATGGAAATAGAAAGATGGAAAAGCACTTCACCATTCAACCAAAATATTCAGCCAGTATTAAAATTAGTTCTATATCCGAGTCACCATAATTTACCCTTATTAAACCTAACAAAGGATTGGGCCCCAGGTACAGCCCAGACCGATGGAATGAGGTAGTTTCAGCCAGGAGCTGGTGCCCCCGAGCTGCCCTGGCCAGGGCACGGGGCCACCAGGGGAGCACATTGGTGCTGGCTAAGACTGATCGCTGCGTGCAATGATGCAGGGGGAGCTCACCGAGTTGCCCCCACAATTCAAGCTGTCTTTCAAACATGTGACAGCAGCTCTCCGAACTTCAGCCTGATGTCTTTGCTAGGGAAAGGCACATAGCAGCTCCAGTGCCCTGAAGTGCTTTCTGGAAGCACCCGTAGAGAGCAGCAATCACCCTGATTGCTGCCCAGCTCCTGCTTCTGGTGAACGAGGTAAGTGAGAGGGCCCAGCTCCTGCACACTGAGCCCCAGGGAGCAAGAGCACAGAAAGCACATTATTTTCTTTCCTGGCGATCAGGATGGCTCAAATAGCTAAGGGCCTGTATTTGTGCTCCTACCTCAGCAAAGTTTTATTGTGATTTACTTCTGAAACACCTATTAAAGAAACAAGCAAGGCACTTGGCTGGCTTTCTCCATTTGGATAGTTTAAAACACCTTCTTGCCTTCTACCTTGCCTTCCTCTCAAACATAAAAGGAAATGAGATCTTTGTTGGAAATTTGTATAGTTATTATCAAGGCATATGGAGGCACTGTACTATGCCTCAAGCTAAGAAATACAGTATCTTTGCTTTTCAAAGTGGCTGAATCAAGCCTCAGGAAACACAGAACTGATACAACCCAGACACACAAATCACTTTCAAGTAGACAGTCAATCTCATTTCTCTATCCGTTTATATCCCAGAACCTAAATGTTTCTCCTCTCCTTTGACCAGGGATTAGACTGGCGTTGCAAAAGTGTTCTGACACAGCAAAACAGCGTACACGGGTATTTTTTCAATCCGAGTCACTCAGAATTATGTATGTCTGACACAGTTTGTTCCAAATTACAGACAGAAAGGAGGTATTTGGATAAGAAGCCTTATCGCTACACAAGTAAACTTCAGTGCTGGCTCTACGTCATACTGAAAGCACCGTGCTTTTTTTTTTTTTAAGCAGACTTCAAAGAAGCTATTAACAATTTCTGAGGTTATAAACACAATCTGCTCTGCAAGGCTTTATATACTTCAGTAAGCCAGGGTCAACACTAGTTCTAGTCCCAACATTTCCTACTGACTGCTGGGCAGCATTTTTCTCTTCCCTTTTGCTTTTCCCTCCCTATCCATGTCGCCAGTTGTTACAGTGCTGTAGTTCTGCTTCTACAGCACTCAGTTCAGCTACAGCTAACAACATGCAATTTGCCTGTTTCTCTGTTTTGTACCAAAACTTCCACAGGCCTCACACAGAAAGCCACACTCCCGGACCCCAGGTTAGCAAATATCTAATCTCTCCTACCAACAGACCTGATCAACCAGTTACTTCTCCCAAACACAGGAAATCACCTTTGCTCTTCTCCCAATTCAACTAGAGACCTGTTTCAGGAATAATTTCTAACACAGGCAGTATTAGTCTATTAAGTTCTCATCCAAACCGTTCTCCCAGGAGAAATCATTGGAGACCCCTTGAGTTGTCATCCTTGTGCAGGAATGCTAGAGCCCTGCACCAGAAACAACAGCCCCTACCTTTCCTTTCTCATCTTCACAGAATCTGCTTACTCTTTCACTATAATAACTGCCTCAAGGCTTCTGTAGAGAACTTGCTTTTCCATTTAACTTTCCAGACCCTTAACAGCCTACTAAGCATAAAAAAACAACACACTTTGCCCACACCTACACTTAGCTAAGGTAGCTCTCTCCTTTCACCACCACCCCCCTCATTATTATTTTTATTTTCATCTCTTTAAGTTTCTACAACTTACCCCATTCATTCTGCATAGCTCTGTACTTCTGAATATTCATTCTTCAGGTAGTAAATCCAGAAAACTGTATTTCTTTTTAGAGTACCTTAAAAGCATTTCTTCCTTTTAGTTTTCTGCCCCTGCCCCCTGAATCCTTATGAGGTCCAAGTGTTTTCCACCAAGTCCAATCAGGAGACATCTCATTAATGAATCTCAGCTGACCTGAACTTTTATCCTCCTTATTCACACCTGACCTGAACCCACAGCACCTGAAAAAAGGTGAAACCCTATCAAATACTTTGTAACTTCATCTCTGGTCTTTTACAAACTGTATAAAACACCATAAATATGCATGAAGTAATATATATATATATATAAAATAAAAATTAAAAAATGGAACAAGTAAAACAGTGACTGGTATGATTCCAGTATCTTTATGGTCTATAATGCTGGGGGAGGCTCATATTTGCTTTGATCCAGGTATCTCTTTCAAGAAGAGCGAGGTGCTTCTGCAGATCTTTAGATGTCTGCGTAACCTTAGCCAAAACATTAGCAGATGAATGGCAGTTCTTGGATCTCAGTTTTAGACCAAGTACTTAAATACTTCATAAATTTCAAATTAGTGTCTAGGTCTTGGGGGGAGGATCCGGTGATAGAGTTTATAAAGTTATAATCACTGCCATCAGATAAAGCTTAAAAGAAAATGATGGATATGTCTAGGCTTACCTGCCAACGCGGCTATAAAAATAAAGAACAAAACAAACAGAACTGGAAATGGCATTAATATCTGATTTTAAAATAAAATTGAGTCCAAGTTTAAGCAACTTCCCTGTGGTATTGCTTAGTTCACTGCGCTTCTTGCACTGTTTTTCTTATACCAAGGAAAACATTTTTAAGTAACATGTCAAAGTTACACATCATCAGGCTGGCATATCATGGTTCAGAAAATTTAAAAAGCAGCAGGTTGCTAGAACCCCTGGATAAAAAGCAGCTTTCCAGGCATTGGTTTTGACATCATCTTTTCTTATTGGTTATTGATATTTCCAACAAATTATTTTTACATCATAGGCTGTGGAGTCATAGAGAACAGGGATGGACATCTCTAATTAGCAGCTGCAAACACTTGCTTTCTTCTTACAGTTTTCTTTTTTGTGTGTGTATGTTTTTTTGTGTGTTTTTTGTTTGTTTGTTTGTTTTTATTTTATTTTGTTTTTAACATGCTAATGTTCTGCAGTTTTGCATATTTTGTACAGTTTTCTTGAAATTGCTTTTATTGATCAAAGTTGGAGACTAAATTAACATTCATCTGAGTACTTAAAAGTTTCACACTTAATGAAAAGTTAGTTTACCAAAAACAAGTCTCTTTAGCTATATATATTACTCATGCAAACAGTAATCTTATTTTAAAATAATTTTATGTAAATATTCTGCAAAACAGTAAAACGAATGAACCAAAATTCCAAATCTGAGTGTTAGTATGATCTTCTGCCTCACACAATAGAAAACCAATATGGAAGAAACTAATGCTTTCCAGGGACACTAGTGATACATTTCTGTGATCTAGAAAGATAGCTTGCCACTGGCTGAGACAGATATTATTTTTTTTCCCCCCAATATTTATTTTCCCTTTTCTACCTTTCTGTTGTTGGTTATGGTGAACACAGACTAGTGTCATCATTATTTTTTGCCCATATACTTTCCAGTACAATAGCAAACATCATATATGAAGTAGAATATAGAGAATGGGTCTATAATGTGACATCACAATTTTGTATTGTATTTGCATATTAATGGTGCTGGTGGGAAGTACAAATTGAAAGAAGTTATTAGAATATGTAAGCTGAATTTTCCTGCATAAGCCATTTTCATATCATGTCACCATAAAAAAAATTGTGATGAATGTTCCCCCTGAAGCTGACAAGTTACAAGGGCTTGTACTAGGGGAATAATAACTCTAAGATTCATAAAAACGGTAATTACTTTATCAACCTTCTAGTCACATTGCAGACAGATACACTGAATCACTCCAAAATAACACTGACATAAAATTAGACTTTACGTTGATATTATATTTTTTACCTGAGGTGCCCTTTAAAAAAAAAGTCCAATATATTAAAATTTAGCCCAGAACCAAACAAACTTGTTTATCTCATGCAACGAAACAGTGAGGTAAGGCTGGATGGGTTAGAGAGAAAAAGGAGTAGACAGCAGGAGGGAAAAAGTATTTGAGAATGACACTGGCCAAGGAATAAGTGACTGTGTCTTATGGCTATGAATAGCAAAGGTTAAGAAGATGAAGGCTCCTGATAAGGCACCATCTTCTTGGACAGCCTCCTAGAAAGGACAGTAGAGACAAAAAATACTCCATAAACCCAATCAGCTGAAAACAGAGTTGGATTAATTTATAAAAGAGATTATATGGTTGTGCCATGACCCAGGAAGGTCCTCTCATCCCACATTCCACTTGCTCCATCCATCACTACCTCAGCTGCCAATGACATTCACAAATGACACCAAATTAACCTGAAAGTCCCTTTTTATTTCCTGTGTGAAACTGCCCTGTATACCTGCACGTGCACAGGTACAGAAACGATCAGACCGCTACCTGAATTAACAAAAATAGATCTTGTCTCCAGAGGCAGACCCGGCATGCTTTTTCAGAGCAAATCTGGAACCTATAGAGAAGACAGCTGAGAAAAGTAGTGTTGTCTGCAATAAAGAAGACAAAATCCTAAATATGACCATGTCATTTCTTACTAAGCAAGGTGGGGATCTCTGTACTCCATCCCCAAACCCTGTTTCACTATAGAACACCCATAAAGTGACAGGGACCTGCTGAGACCTTTGTCCTCATATCTCAAGCTAGTCCCTGCCAAGAGAGCAGTGCAAAGACCTAACTATTAGGCGTTTGAAGTGTTCAGTGCTTCATCGGTATGCCTGAGAGATAATGGATGCTACCATCGAGGACGGGTGGTAGAAGTGTTTCACTTGCTTGCCCAGAGCTGAGCATTTAAGCAGCATGTGTTTTGTGTTCCAGTGACAGGGGGCAACTGGGGGGAAGAAAAGAGGAGCTCATTACCTCTTAATCGTTATTTCTAATTACTTCTTTCTCATCACTTCTTCATTCACTACTTGCTGTTGTGCATCCTGGAGGCTACTAACATCACTGGTGTGTTCTCACCCATTTTGGGAGACAAAATTTAAACATCCAATTTGTCTCACCTAGCAGATCAGAGTTTACCATTGTCTAGAATATTAGGTTTGTGTTCTGGCAAAACACAGCTTTAGACACTGAAAGATTCACAGTGGGTTTTCGACATCCTTACTTATCAGTGTTCTCACAGTGTTCATCAATTCTCAATCAGGAAGGCACTGGGCCCTGAAGCACATAGTCAGTTTGGGGTGGAAACAATGGGATTCAACATTTTTCTGTGCATAATTTCCATTGAAATTCATAGGATATACAAATATATAAGATTAGAAATGTCTTAAGATTAGAAAAGTGAGTATGATTACAATTTTGAAGGCTACACAACAGACTGCAGCAGAAAACCATCTTCTAAACAATACTGATTGTTGTTGTTGTTGGTATAAAATTATTTTGATTGCTCTCCCTATGTGAGCATGAACTATTAAAAAGTTTTCGTCACATTATTTTAATTTCTAATGAGTCCTTATGCCAGAACACCAATACAGCTGGACATTTTTCAGCAGAGTTGTTTGCAGCTGGAAGTCTCTCTGCAGAGTAACTCTATCTCCCGTGTGAGCTTCCAGGCTAAATCCAGCCTGAAAAGAGGCAATAGCTCAGCCTTTGTTCCAGCTCAGTCCTTGACCTTTTTGTTTACAGTGCTAATAGGGATAGCAGTTACTCAGAGTCAAAGTGGCATTTTTGAGATGTGAATAATCACATGAGAAAACCGACCGAAACAGTCGGTACATTCACAGCGCCTGCCTAACTGAGCCATTAGCTACTTAGGGTTCGGCCACTAGCACTGATCTATATCAGAACAGAGACAGTGACCTATAGGAGAAATAATCCATATCCCATTACCAACTCTCTGAGACATTTGTTCCTTCTAAAGTCCAAGTTTTTCAATGACATCCTTCTAAAAAGGCTCTCTTTCATGTCGCTTTTATCATTCTGACCTTGCTCTAGTGGGAATTTCAGTTCTGTCCTTTGAGACATGCAGATGATGCAAAATTTCGCTCTCTCCTCTTGCTGCACAAAGGTCCAAAGAATAAAGCTCCAGCTTGTCCCTGGACTGTCCCCCTCTCCTGTGTGACCAGCCGGGCAATGTGTACTCCTCTCCTGGTCACGAGGCTGCAAGTGCGTCTCGCTGTCCCTGCAGCACCAGCTATGCTGCAATGGGAACACGCCTTTCTATAGGAAAGCTATTAATTTGATGTATCACATAGATATTATACACGAAATACATTTACTGAACTGTTTTTCTGAAGCAGTATAAGTTATCCCATTTGACGATAGAGTCTTCACAAGTGGGAAAATGTGACATTCTAGACACCAAATAACTGTCCCTGTGTTTTGCTTGGCAACCAAAGGTCACTGATTACAGTCCTGGAGATCTTAACATAGCTTTTCTACAGTCCCCTCTAATACTACTTGAATGAGCATAAGACACTCTATGCTGAACCACTGCGGCTTGGACTTCCTTAATTATATGGGAATAAGATAAAGATTTCCCCAAAGCACTGCAGTGACTCAAAGGCACTCAGGTTTGCCCAGCTAATGGGGTCAAAACCTCTGTAAATGTCAGGTTCACAGGTATCATGACTCAAGGGCTATGGCCTTAAGTACAATGCAGGCAGGAGAGTTGTAATTATGACACTTAAAACTATTCAGAAGACCGAAACCATGCATTAAGTATAAATGGAGAGTATATAAAAAAAAAAAATGTACAGCAACTAGACTGTTTGCTACATCCAGCCATGGGTTTAAGGTTACCAATTCAGAAAATTTCAGCACTTATCGCCACACTTTGCATCTGATTTTTATCAAAAGACTGTTATTTTTTGTATCTTGGGGCCGGGAACACACAGGCAAAGAGTGAAGAGTACCTGAGGAGATGATAGAGGCTGTGTTGTTCTGAATTTCTGATGCTGTATTACTGCTCATTATTATGTCTTTGA